TTCCAATCAGGTTAGCTCAGGAATTCTGGGAGTTGAAGTCCACAAGCCTTAAACTTGCCAAGTTTGAAGACCCTTGATCTACTACTCTTTAGCAGAACCCCAGACTACAAGTTGGCTTTTTAAAAAAATCAATCACATCAAGAACCAGAAACAATGCAACCCTGGAATCAGTAACTGGATCAACAAGCACTCTGTCTTCTTTGGGTTGAGTCTAATCCTGTTTTTTTCCCTATCGAAGATGAAAGCTTCAAGATTTGGATCAGAGGTCTCCAAACTTGGCAACTTCTTGGATTCTGGGAGTTAAAGTCTTAAAGTTGCCAAGTTTGGGGACCCCTGATTTGGATCATCATTATAGTTCCACTAGACTCAGGGAAGGTGGAGGGAATGTGTAACTGAGTATAATCTGCATATTGATAACATTTCCCACTGAAGTGGTGGATGACCTCTTTCAGCAAGGAGAAAAGACTGAATACAGAGACACTTCCTACAAAATGCCATGGGTTCTTCCCCTACTACCATAACCAGCCTCTGGGTCTGTTTGCTCAGATAAGGAATGGCAAAATGCTTGCCTCCAACTCATAACTTTTGCAGTGGGTTCAGAAAGGATATCTTAGCCAACAGTATCAAAAACTGCTGAAAGTTCTAGAAGGACAAGGATGGTCATGCCACCTCCATTTAAGCCCCTTCATCTATGACAGCGATTAGTTTGGTTTCTATTTCAGGTCCAGATATGAACTTAAATTGCTAAAAATCCAGATGTGGATTATGACACCTTTCATAGCTTCTGTAGCTTTAATCCCATTACTTTCTCATTAATCTTCCCCCAAAAGGAAACTACCCAATTTTGTTAGATCCAGGTCTGGGCAAGCCAATCCATCTTTAAGAGCTTCTGACATTTCCTCTTCCTTCAAAGAGGCATTGAGTCCACCCTGCATCAAACTATTGGTGCTCTCCTTCACCACTTTGATTACCCAGATGGAGCAGGGGTCCAAATCACAAGTAGTAGAGCTAACTTTGCAGGGAATTTTGTCTACTTCATCAGGATCCAGAGGTCCAAAACTCTCCCATGTCACCTCTGTCATTGCATTATATTCTGTCCACTCAGCTTCCAGCAGCTTCCATCCCTTTTGAAGAGATGGATGCAATATTCTCCTTCAGATGTGCCCTAGAGCAGGGGACTCCAACCTTGGCAACTTTAAGACTTGTGCACTTCAACTCCCAGAGTTCCTCAGCCAGCAAATCTGGGAGCTGAAGTCCACAAGTCTTAAAGTTGCCAAGGTTGGAGACCCCTGCGTGAGAATACAGAAGCATCCCCAGAACTAGTAGGGGTATTTTGGAAGCCAAGAAAGTGACAGATGGAGCATACACGGAGAGAAGTTAATCTTTTTTTTTAATGCCTACATTTGAAAGACTAGTGTGGCATCGCAAAGACCTGTCAATTGATATTAGCCAGCATCTGCTTTGAGTCTGACCAATACATGAGGCCTGGAAATTTATTACAAGCCTTTGGGCTCACTGGGGACCATCACATTAGAGATGCATGTGGCATGCCCAAATATGCCAATGCCTTGGGTGTAGAGTAACTATATCCCTCCCCCCTCTCTATATTTTGTCACAAGTGCCAGCTCACCTTTTACTGCTGTATGTAATCAATTCAGAAGTAACATCTGTCTCTCTACTGTTGCTGCCATGTGGCTTGCCTAAGGCCAGCTAGAGATATGACAGAAGATGTAATATTCAAAACAGGACTTACCTATTTATCACCCAGTTTCTCAGGCAGCATACCACCCAGAGAATGTGGACCAGCAATTAATCAGTGGCTACAAAAAATATGAGTAACAGCCCAGGTGTTACCCATCTGTGATGTGGATCCTTTAAAATCAGATTTTCAGTCTGGTTTAGAGTGACACAGAACTTTGATCATTCTGGTAGAGTTAGATACATTGGGAGATAAAGAGAGCACTCCTCTGTTCGTATTGACATTATCACCCATGGTTTTCTTCTAAGTAACTTGAAGGCAACTTTTCTGATAGATCCAATTGTTTCTGAGAGGCAAAAAGTCTCCATAGATGCACTTTAAAGATTTGTGTGCCTCAAAGCCATCAGCCTTTGAAGTCCTACAAGGGTTCCCCTTTTTTCCTGTTATTATTCTTAGATGCAGCAAATATGTGTTTTCTGGAGAACACTGATCTTGCTATGGACATGTATAGTTTAGTTATCTTCAAGTCAGATTGTTGTAACATTCTATATAGGCAGCAACTCCAAGAGATAGAGCACAGCAACAGATTGGAAGCAGCCCATGTCAACGATCAAATTATGATAATGCTTTATTGAATGCCATGCCTGTCAATTAGTTTCTAGGGCCAATTCACTGTTTTCCAAAATCTGACTAGACTAGAATCAGATTAGATGAAACTTGCACAGTTAGATCATCAGGAAAGAACTGTGTGAATCTCACCCTGAAGCATTCGATATTTTGGATAGCACCATAGTTTTCTAACAAATTTTTCAGCATTGCTTGGAATTGAACTAAAATCAAGTCAGATTTAATGGTAGCTAAATGCCATTAAAAGCAAAGGAATAATTTAGGACTAGCATAAACCCAGCTGATTTTAGAAGCATTGCTAAAAGCTGTGCATGCTTTCCAGGGAGTAAAGCCTATTCAATTTAGCAGGATTTACTTCTGAATAAAGTTATATAACACTAATTTCTGACTAACACTTGCTGGGTTTTTTTAAAACATTGTTTTAGTCTGCTGATAAACTGCGTATTTTAATTCTTGCTCAGCCATCGCCACATACTACTCTAATGTCACTCCACCAGACTGATTCCCCAAGTGCACTGCATGACACTAAATTAAAACTGACTTGCTTTCAAGGAATGTACTCAGGATTAAAACCATTTGAAAAGTTGCTTTCTGGACTTTTGCCCCATTTTAACCAAATGCTTGGATTTCTTTAGCAGTCTATTTCTTCAATTTCATTTTTTATTGCTATTATCAAGGCCCACAATTCTGCACATAAATTGCTTCTTAAGCTAGATGGAACATAAGTGAATGAGGTCACTACACATTTTAAAGCCATTCTTTTTAGAATTATTTAAGAAACAAGTGTGACTCCCCTCATATTAGTGTATAGCCTGACCTGGTGGGTGTTTTCTTGGACTCATTCCTGATACAAAAAAATACACATGAATTGACTTTTTCCTGCAACTCTAGTTCAAACCTGCCTTGGAGTTCTAAAGTAGAATTTTGGCCATTTGTGTGACAAGAAAAAAAGATATTACAAGTTTGTGTAAAACTGCTGCTGCTTTAATATTAGACAAACAACTCCCTCCTATTATAAAGACTTGTTCAGAAGAAAAGGCCAGTTCAATAGTTTTTATTTCCTAACTATAGCTGCAAGTTTATGCACACCTCTTTGGGAATAAGCTCTTGGGTGTACATCATCATACTTCCCAGCAGGGTACAACAGCACATGGACAAGTCAAAATTAAGATGTAGGCTGTTGTTTTAAAAATAATTTCACTGGAAAGTTTTATTTTGTGGTGAATTAGTATTTCCAGGGAACAGGATTATAGAGGCCATCCACAGATCAGTTTGCTCTTTGCAATCTTCGATAAAACTCTCATTGGGGGTGGAAGGGGACAAAGGGGTATCTCTATGAAAAATGTGAAATAATTTTATTTAGCTAGTTCAGATGCCCCCCAAAATCAGCAGGTAGCCTTTTGAAAGAGAAAGAAAAGCAGTCTTTAAACTTAGCCATTTAACAAATTGCTTTTAGGAGAGTTTTAAAAAAAAACAACTGAAGGAAGCTGCAGCTGCAGAGGTTCATTCGTAATATAGGAATCTCCTGTCTGATTTTGCTCCTCCCCCCGCCCCCCAATCTTGGTAAGGTGTGGACAGTGCGAAGGAGGGATGGGGGATCCACAGCTTGGGGAAGGAGTGTCAAAAGTAAACAAAACTCAAAAGAGGCCGAACCAAACAAACAGCAGGCAGGCACCTCCGCTGAACCTTATCTCCTCTCCCGGCTGGATCTCATTAAAGGCACTCTAAATCCCATCAAGGGCTAATTTACACCCCGCCCCCCTCTCTTCTCTCTTATGAAGAAAACACCACCCATGCTATCGCTCCAATCTCTCAGAGCCTGGAAAAGCAGTTTCCCCTTCCTTCCACTCAGCTCCTACACAGGAGCAACCTGGACCTGCGGTTTACCGCTTAGTAAATTAATTCACATGCACATCCCAAGGAGTTGCAAGGGAGGAAAAAAAAAAAAACTCAGGAACCCTTCCGGACGCTTTCAACACACCTGGAGTGGAAGGGTGTTGATACTCTCTAGTCAAAAGTCCTGCACTGGTGGGAAGGGGCGGACTTACTCACTGAGTAAGCCCTGCCCAGACGCTGACTGCTTAGCACACTTTCCTGAACCAAAGTATTATACTGTACCCCTAAAACGTTTCCAACAGGTACCCACCCTCTCAGGTCCCAAGGTGACACCTCTATAACAGGTAGCTAAATTGTTCCCATTGATTTATAAAGCACAATAGGGGGGCGCTGAGATTTGTTTTGAAGGGAGAAAGTCTCGCCTTTGCCCGCAGGATTAGGTAGGTCCGGCTTTCACGCACACCTCCTGACCAACTTGCCATCTTCATCCCGCAAGCCCCGCTCAAACCCCAAAGTCCAGCTTTTGGTGGAAAAGCTTAAAACGGCTCTGCATGAAAAAAAAAAAAAAAACTTGCACGGGCGGATACAGCTCGGGAGGCTCCTTGACCTTAAGAGGCAGAAACAGCTGGAGGTGTGCGCGCCCTCCCACCCACCCACCCACCCCCCTCGGATTTCCCCAGAGGCAAAGTCCCCTTCCCAAGCCGCCCTCCCCAACTTTGGCCCAACGAACTCAGGAGGTGAGGGGGGCGCGGGGGGGTCCCTTCTCCATCCCGCGCTGGGTGGAAATTCCGCCCGCACTTCGTTCTCCCGGGGCAAAAAAAAACCAAAAAAAACTTACTTTTCCTCGGAATTTGCAGCTGGCCGCAGCAGGATCCCGGGTCGGCTTCGCTCCAGCCAGCAGCAGGAGGAGGCAAAACAGCGCCAAGCGAAGCTCGGCGTTGTGCACCACCATCCTATTTTACTACACGCCCGGGGCACGGATGGGTGGCTGGGTGGGTGGGAAGTAGAGACGCGGAGGAGAAGGGAGACGGGGGTGGAACTCTCATTCACTGGGCCAAAATGCGAAAAGTTTGGAGGGGGGCTTTGGTGGTGAGTTCGGCTTCCTTTCCCCCTCCCCGGACCAAAGCTTGTATTTTCCTCTTCTCAGGGCGTTTTTAAGGCGTCTGTCCTAGCGGCCCGCTCCCTAAATTACCCCCTAGCCAAGCCTTCCAGGCGCTGCCCCCACCTCTTAAAGGGTCTCTGTCCCAGGTTGCGAGGAGGAGGAGGAGGAGGATTCTCCATGCCGCGGGGGGGAGGAGGCTCCGTCCCCCGCCCGATCCCTCAGCTCAAGTCAGTCTCTCGCCTTCCCGGTTCAAAGTTGCTCCAGGAGCCGCACGGCGGAGTTTTTGGAGCAGCCCCTGGATGGAGGCAGCAAGTCACACACGCTGGAGGGGTTGGCCGCAGGAGGTGCCTAACCCTAAACTCCCCCGCCGCCGGCCGGAGAAGCCCTCCTCCTTTCCCCGCTCTGACCTCCGCCCCGGGCCCAGTTGGCCTCCTGCTGGATTTTCCGCGTAGTTGTTGCAAGACATCCATCCCACGCGGCGACAACCCAGCGCAAGAGTCCTTGGGGGGCGGTGGCAGGAATAACGCTCTGAGCACCCACACCGGGAAAACACACAGAATAGTTGCGGGTTCATACTAAGGGAACGCCATGCCGATAAGTCAACCCTTCTCCCTGTTAGATGCAACCCCCTTACAACCAATGGATCGCTACTAAACGCCCACAGTTGTAGCCATTAACAACTAGGCCGCCAGTTTGGGGGCAATGGGACAACTTGCCACAGCCAACTCGGTGCTACAAATTCAACTTGCCTCGCACAACTTGGCACAGGACAACTCATTGCGGGATAATTTAACAATTCTATGTATTTAAAATAAAAAAATATTGTAATTTTTGCCATTCACATTTCACTCTGTTTCCTCCTTTTGCATCCTTTAATGATTCTGTTCCACCATTTCTTTGGTATTAGTGTAACTCTTGTCCCGCAGTGAGTTGTCCTGTGGTGAGATGCCATGGCGAGTTGGCTGTGGCAAATTGGCTGTGGTGAGTTGGCCGTGTGGAATTGTCATAGACCCCAGTTTGGTTTTTAATGACAGTATAAGATGGTTTTAAGATGGCACGGTTTGGGTTTAGGCTGTTTTCTGAATGTGGTTTATGTGATAAAGAATTGTTAAACCAATTCTGGCCTATGCATCAATGTGTATCAGATCCTAGGAAGAAAGACTGTAAATTAAGGATGTAATCAACTTACAAGTTTGTGGAAGGTGGGGCAGCCTACTCATTCAGGGAATGAGTCTTGTGATAGCTTCAAGTCAGTGACCAAATCCCCCTTTCATAGAAAAGCTGATAAAGCTACAAGACAAATAAGTTGCTCAAGAAAGAGGGCTCCTACTTCCCCCTCAACAAGCCTACTTTGAAATCCCTTATTTCATTTCAGATAAGTCAAACTCTTGTGACAAATCCATTCACTGCACTGATTTCCCTCTCTTTCAACAGCAGCCTTCAGACAAAAAAAAAATCCAAGAAAACAAGATCAGACTGTCATTAGCTGTATTCACACTATATAACTCGATCCAGAGTAAATTGGATTGAGATAGATGGGAATAGAAATTAAATAAATAAATACAGTTATTCCTAATATGGCTTATTTTCTGATCTGTGACTGTTAAACCTAAACACTGGTTTGTAAATCATGATTTATGTGATGTATGTATGTATACAGCCAGAAGTACCATCACTGGTACTTCATAGTTAATGAGTTAATCCTTTTAATTTAAAACTATATTAAGAAAATTACTTATACCCTCATATTTTATTATACACCACCCTGAGTCCCTTTGTGAGAGAGATGAGCCATTTTTTGACTTACGACTACAGTTGAGCCCAACATTTTTATTGCTAAGCAAGGCAATTGTTAAGTTAGTTTTGCTCCATTTGATACCACCTTTTTGCCACAGTTGTTAAGGGAATCACTGCAGTTAAGTGAATCATGTGGTCTTTAAGCAAACCTGGCTTTCCACATTGACTTTGCTTGTCAGAAGCTGGCTGGGAAAGTTACAACTTCGTAAATACATGCCAATTTTCAAACATCAGAATATTATGGAAGCTGGGAATGCTGGTATGATTGGATAGAACAAAAATAGAAAATATATTAGGAAATAATGTTAAATGTAAATCATAATTATATATTCACAATAAGATGTATTTGTAAATGTATCACCAATATTGATAACAAACAAGGAACCATAGACTGTCGATAGTAGAATTGTTAGTTTTTTAATCATTTTCTTTTTTTTCTATTTCTTTTCCTTCTTCTTCTGTGTGTTGTGTTTGTTCGATGTTTTGGTTTTGTAATCAATAAAGTTTGTTTTAAAAAAATAGGGAAAACTGTAGACATGTAATCCTGAGAAAAAGGACATAGCACAATGAGGAAAGTGCTGCATCACAGTCCTTCTAATGAATTTGTGATGTAAAAAAACCCCAGCTAGAATAAAAATAGCTCTAATAATTAGAATAGAACAACTAAACTTTATAGGGAAAAGAGGCTTGTACCCAGGCATATTTTCACATTATAGAAAGAAATAGAAAGAAATACTGTATTAGGGCAGTATCTATCTTTTCATAAAAATAATTAATCATTAAAAGCATAAGCTGAATATCTCCAATTAATTTTTGCCCAGACAGGCCACATCTGTGCCATCCTTTCATATGAATCTACATTAACTCAGTAGTATGCTACACTGCACTTATTCATTATACTAAGATAGATAGATGGATGGATGGATGGATGGATGGATGGATGGATGGATGGATGGATGGATGGAT